GTTAAAAATAGCTCGTAATATAAGCATTTTCATTTTTAGTGCTTCAACAACTTTACTACTTTTAATCCATACAGAGGACAAACTTTGGGGAAAAAAACAAAGGAAGTTACATAGTAGCCTGGTACTTTGCTCTTTATAAATAGCTGAAATCATCTGTTTAGTGTAGAGTCTTTTAATATAAGCTATTTATTCTTATTTTACGATACAAATACATATATTTAAGAGGCATACATAAGAATGTTTCTTTACTGATTAAAAGTAAATTATAAGAATCTCAGTAGAATTTCATTACCAGGATATATCACAAATAATTAGAGAATTTTGATTTTTGAATTATATATAATTTCAGCCAGACATTCTGCTTTATGGACTTTGACTTCATGTATATCTTCAAAGTGGTGAAAATTCAGCCATGGCTGCTATATTCTGCCATTTGTTTTTATTATAATATCTGGAGAAAAATATAAAACAATAGATTATTTCATATATATGACAAGAAGGTGATCAATAATTATTAATAACCAATCCTTGAGGGCAAAAACTCTTGACACCCAGCCAATCTAGTTTCATCCTGTCAAGCCTTAGGAAATAAATCTAGAGGCCATTGAAAAAATAATTTAAAAAAGGAATAGCTGGCTCACTCCTTCCTGGACAGGCTGAGGATACCTCTTTGGAGACAGCAAATGACCTGCTCAATAACATTCCAATGGGAAGCCCAGCAAAGATGGCTGTCAGTAGCCATCACAAGGCCTTTAACTCCAGCTATGTAACCTGGAGGAGTGGATCCAGTTGTGCTTCTTATCCTCATCCATCATCCACGAAGAAGCCCCTCACATTTTCCTACCCACCCTTGCTTTGTATTCTACTACTCGTTGCTGTAGCTAAACCCAGGTTCTTTCTAATACAGGATTCTGGGGGCTTTCCCCCTACATCTGGTACCAGGAGATCCCTAGTGGAGCCGGTTTTACCTATTACCACTGCCACTTTCATACTATGACATACATCACCCCTTGGCCTTTATCAATGATTCTCAAACTTCGTTGTTTGAGAAGCCTATACAGGCCACACTTCATACCAATTAGATTAGAATCTCTGGAAAAGGGAGTCAAAGATCCAGGAAAGTATGATATACAGATAAGTTTGAACACCAGAGACCTCTATCTTCGCTGTTCAAACTGTGGTCCATGGACCAGTAATTTCATCATCATGTAGAAGTTCATTAGAAATGTAGAATCTTGGGTTCCATTCCAGATCTAACGAATCAAAATCTCCACTTTAACAAGATCTACAAGTAATTCCCCAGTATATTAAAATGTGTGAAGCACTGCCTGTTTTACCCTCTACCCCTCCCTACTGTTTTCTCTACTGACCTCAGACACTATCTGTACATTTAATAAAGACTTTGAAAACTGGGCCACAGTAATCTACTCCATACCAATTTGTAGTAACTTCCCAAGTGGGTAATTAGCCCACCCAACTACTTAGTCTCACCTACTCCTACCCAGGCTTCATACATTATCCAAGGATGGACAGCACCTAGAACACATCATTTCTGAAACTACAATACTGGAGACCTGGGAGTTACCTTCTAACTGTCCTTTTCTCTCACCACCCAGTACCAGTACGTAATCAGTCACTAAGCCCTGGCAATTATGCCAATACACATTTTTAGTTTAGACTGGTTCTCAAACCCCTGAAGTACTGAATCAGATCGCTGAAACAATGATCCGGGAATATTACCATCAACTAACTTCATCTAACATATGACATCTAGATTCAATAAATATTTGCTGAATAAATGAACTAATCAACTGCAGAACTTTATCTATTCTGACATCAAATCAACAGGTTTAAAAATCTCCATTATGTCAATCTAGTTTGATTTCTTTTTCCCCAAGGAACGGACTGGCATCTCTATATTTGTACTAGATCTATGTGTCTGTGTCAAAGGCTACACAATTACCTGCTCTATTCTTTATGTGAGAGGCACAACCAAATTTATCATCAAATACAACAACCACCCAATATATTTTAGGCTTTTGCAATTTGATAAAAACAAAGGAATAATTTCCAAAGGGAAAAAGAAAAACATAGTCTTGAGGACTTAACGTACTCTATAGAAACAAATAATGCTTATTGCATAAGGAGTGACTATTATATTTCAGCTGCTTTACATAGATTATCTCTAATCCTTGCAACAACTCTCTGAACTAAGTACTACTATTATGCCAATTTTGCAGATAGGAAGCTAAAAGTCAGAGGATTTAAGGAATTTACTCATGTGACAGAGCTAGGTTTTGAACTTAGGGATGTCTTATTCTTTTTTTTTTATTTTTTTAAATTTTATTATGTTAATCACCATACATCACATCATTAGTTTTTGATGTAGTGTTCCATGATTCATTGTTTACGTACAATACTCCATTCAGTACATGCCCTCTTTAATACCCATCACCAGGCTAACCCATCCCCCCACCCCCCCAGAACCCTCAGTTTGTTTCTCAGAGTCCATAGTCTCTCATGGTTCGTCTCCCGCTCCGATTTCCCTCCCTTCATTTTTCCCTTCCTACTATCTTATTCTTAAGTGATTTCTACTACCATCTGTAGGATACTCAAGTCGTTTTCCATCTCATTCGTCATATTTCTATGTGATACATCTGCCTGCTCTTATTATCTAAAAACTCGAGCTTCTCACTAAAGATGTATACGTATCCAGTTAAAGTCTCTTATTGTACTACAAGCTTGAGATATGAATTTATAACACATCATTTATCATGTCTTCTAAAGATCAAAATAAAAGAGAAATCGTAAAACCTTACTATAAGGATAGTTTCAAGTTTTGTCTGATTTTCCAGAAGGTATTGTTAGCTAGGAAGTCTTCCAAAGCAAGGTTAAAAGTATCCCCTCTTAGCTTCCTGCAGTGCCTTGTTACAGTTTTATCATGTTACAGAGAAGACTGTGAGATCTGTCTCACCACCAGTCTGTAAGCCCTGGAGGGCTAAGGCTGTACTCATCCCCAGCTAATATTGCAGTGTGTAATACATGCTTGTTGGCCAAATTAAAGTAATAGTGTATTAGATATCTATTGCTATAACTGTACGAAGTACACAGAAATGATTTTCCAAGCCTCTTCTTGACAAAAAAAAAAAAATCTCTTTAAATAGAATACAGGAGTCCAATATATAAAACAAAGAGAAGCAAAACTGCTCTGTATGGAGGAGCTGAGAAACTCAGAGCCCTATCTACTCTACTCCCCGCCCCCATGCCTTATTTGACAGTTACCCAAACTATTGCAAATCAAGAAAGCTAAGTTCTAACTCTGATTCTACCACTAATTAGCTGTGTGAATTCAGACAAGTCACTTATTGATCTGGCTAGGTCATTTTTATTATATGTAAAATGAACAAAATAGACGATCATTAAATGGCTCTCAAATGTTAGTGCTTATTGGAATGCCTTTGAGAGTTCTTCAAATTGCAGATCCCTGTGCCGTATCTCTAGAGAATATAATTTGCCAGCTCTACAGTATTTCTGGTGTAGGTGGTTAGAGGACCACATACTGAGAAACCTTGTACTGGATGTCTTCTAAGGTCTCTTTCATCAGGGTGTCACCATTCTCAAACTTCTACTTACGCACACCACCTCCTCTATCACATCTCTTTTGGACTCCTCTAGTGGTTCACTTTCACCACATTTTTTTCTCTAATCAGCATTATTAATGAACAAGTATCATAATGAACAGGGGTCCTAGACCATCAAAAGTGAGCTTCATCCTATAGTACTGATTAGATAACTGGCAAACTAGCTAAATATTAAATGCCAGGACTAAAAATAGGCTGTTACATGTTTAAAATAATGCGATCACTATTTAGCTTAGGGCTTTGCTATTTTTACTAAAGGAAAGGCAGAGACAAGTGGCCAGAAGTTGAAGGGGGAATTACTTAAATGAAGAGGCTGCCAAATGAGGTGAGAACCTAGAAAGAAGCCAGGAGTGGCAGAATTGGTTCAACATACATCAAGGGGTCTCTCTGAATTAAACTAAAAATTTCAGTCTAAACACTCAGAAGAACTTCCCAGACACATTTAGTTTTGATTTGCTGCATACTTAAACCCAGAGCTGTGACATTACCTCATGTCATAAATTAATATGACTTGCCATAAAGATCAAATTAAGAGAAGTTTTTCTATAACTTTTTATTGAAATATAGCATACACACAGAAAAGTATGCATATATGTACTGTAAAGCTTGATGGGTTTTCACAGACTTACCATACCCATGTAACCAGCATTCAGATAATGAAATGGAACACTACTAGCACCCTAGAACTTCATCTCATAATGCTTTCTAGTTAATAGCCCCTTCCTAACTAGTACATCCACGATGGTGATTTTCATCATAGTTTAGTTTTGCCTAGCTTTGTACTAAATATAAGTAACGTTAAATGTACTCTATTGTGTCTGACTCCTTATGTGAGATTTATCAGTACTGTTGTACGTAACTCTGCATTGTTGATTCTCACTGCTATATAGCATTCCAATGAATGAATGTGCCAGAGTTTATTAATCCATTCTACTGTTGATGGCCATTTGGATTATTTCCTGTTAGGGGCTATTATCCAAGTGCTGCTATGAACATTCTAGCAAACATCTTTTGATGAACATATGTACACATTACAGTTGGATATACTATTGGAAGGGGAATTGCTGGGTCTCCATGGTCCAGGGAAATGGAATTGTTGGGTCTCTTTCCACCTCAGTGAAATTTCTAGGGGCCCAGTGATATGAGAGTTATACCTCCTAAAGTAAAGAATAAGTTGTTGCATCAGGCTCCTCCTACAACCAAAAAGGAGGCACAATGCCTAGTGAGCCTTTTTAGATTTAGGAGTCAACATATGACTCATTTCAGTGTACTACTCCAACCCATTTACTCAGTGCCTAAAGGCTACCAGTTTTGAGGGAGCCTCAGAATAAGAGAAGGTTCTACAACAGGTCCAGTCTACTATGCAAGATGCTCTGCCACTTGTACCATAATATCTAGCAGATCAAATGGTACTTGAAGTGTCACTGAGAGATATACATGTTGTTTGGATCCTGTAGGTGAATCACAGCACAGGTCCTCAGGATTTTGGAGCAAATCTTTAGCATCTTCTGTGAATAACTACTCTTTTTGAGAAACAGTTTTTGGTCTGCTACTGGGCCTTTGTAGAGACTGAATATTTAACCATGGTACACCAAGTTACAATGAGACCTGAGCTGCCAACCATGAATTATACATAGTCTGATGCACCAAGCCACAAAGTTGGCTGTGCAGAACAGCACTGCATTGTCAAAAAGAAATGGTATATATAAAATTGAGCTAGAGCCCCAAAGGCACAAGTAGGTTAGATGAGGATGTGTTTCAAATGCCCATGGTCCGTACTGCTGCTACACTATCTTCTCTCTCCCAGCCTGCACTTTTGGCATTATAGGGAGTCCTCCACAATCAGCTGATTGAGGGGAAAAAAAACCTCAGCTTTGGTTCACAGATGGTTCTACATGATATGCAGGCAACACCTGAAAGGGGCAGCTACAGGACCTACAGCTCCTTTCTGTGACATCCCTGAAGGAAATTGGCGAAGGTATATCTCCCCAGTGGGTAGAACTTCAAAAGAAACATCTCACCGTTTACTCTGTTGGAAGGAGAAGTGGCCAGATATGTGGTTATATACTGATTCATGGACTGTGGCCAATAGTTTGGCTGGATAGTTAGGGACATAGAAGGTACATGACTGGAAAATTGATGACAAGGAGATAAGAGTGAAGAAGTATTTGGACAGACCACTCTGAATGGGCAAAAATATATGAAGGTATCTGCGTCCCCTGAAATACTCACCAAAGGGTGATCTCAGCAGACAAAGACTTTAATAATCAAGTAGATAAGATGACCCATTCTGTGGATAACAGTTAGCCTCTTTCTCCAGCCACTTCTGCCATCACCCAATAAGCTAACGAACGAAGTGACCATGTTGGCAGGGATGGTGGTTATGCATGGGCTCAGCAATTCACTAAAGTCAACCTGGCTATAGCCACTGATGAGTATTCAATTTTTTTTAAGATTTTATTTATTTATTTGAGAGAGAGAATGAGAGGTAGAGAGCACGAGAGGGAAGAGGGTCAGAGGGAGAAGCAGACTCCCTGCTGAGCAGGGAGCCCGATGTGGGACTCGATCCCGGGACTCTAGGATCATGACCTGAGCCGAAGGCAGTCGCTTAACCAACTGAGCCACCCAGGCGCCTGAGTATTCAATTTGTTAGCAGCAGAGACCAACACCAAATCCCCACTATGGCACCATTTCCTGGAGTGATCAGCCAGCTACCAGGTGGCAGGTTGATTACCTTGAACAAGTTCCATCATGGAAGGGACAGCCTTTTATTCTTACTGGAATAGACACTTATTCTGCATATGGATTTGCCTGTCTTGCATGCAATGCTTCTACCAAAACAACCATCCAACGACTTAGAAAATACTTTATCCACCATCATGGTATCCCACATAGCATTTCTTCTGATCAAAGAACTCACTTCACAGCAAAAGAAAGTGGCAAAAGTCCCAAGCTCATGGAATTCACTAGTCTTTCCATGTTCCCCACCATCTGAAGCAGCTGACTTGACAGAATAGTAGAATGGCCTTTTGAAGACTCAGTTAAAGCACCCTTTAGGCAGCAATACCTTGGGCTGAGACAAGGTTCTTCAGAATGTTGTATATGCTCTGAATCAGCATTCAATATGTGGTGCTATTTCTCCCACAGCCAGGATTCACAGGTCCAGGAATCAAGAAATGGAGATGGAAATGAGATCACTCAATATTATCCCTAATAATCTACTAGGAAAATTTTTTGCTTCCTGTTCCCATGACAGGCCATGCTCTGCTAGCCTAGAGGTCTTAGTTCCAAAGGGAGGGCTGTTTCCACCAAGAGACACAGCAATGATTCCAACGAACCTGAAGCTAAGACTGCGACCTGGCTGCTTTGGGCTCCTCAGGCCTCTGAATCAACAAGCAAAAAAGGGAATTACTATGCGGGCCAGGGTGACTGATCCTGACCACTCAAGTGAAATTTCCTCTGCAATGGAGGCAAGGAAGGGTATATCTAGAATACAGGATATTCCTTAGGGCATCTTTTATTATTATTATGCCCTGAGATTAGGGTCAATGGAAAAGTACAACAACCCAGCCCAAGGAGAACTAATGGCCTAGACCTTACTGAAATGAGGTTGATATTACCCCACTAGCTTAAGAACTATGACCAGCTGAGATGCTTGCTGAGGGAAGAGGAAATATGAAATGGAGGAAGGTAGTTATAAATACCAGTTATGTCCACCTAACTAGTTTAAGCAAATATCTTTGTTTTCTTCCCTCTCTTATTCCTGTATCAACTAACATAAAATGTATTAATAGTTAACTCTCTATCATAACAGGATATCAAGAAGAGGAGTAAGCACCATCCAAGGATTTTGCATCCTCTTCTGGGGAAGGAGTTAGCACAATTTCGGTTGTATGTAGGACAGCTGCATTATGTTAGGCAGAAGTATAACTTTGTTACTTTCTTTATTTACATATTAATTATGGTTTAAGGACATGTGTATGAATACATAGTTGACATGAAATAGGCTGTGATGGTTAGTTGTGTCACCTTGGTTAGGCTATATTAACCAATTAAATCAAATACTAATTTTGGTGTTGCTGTGAAGGTAAGGTTGTAGATAAGGTTAACATCTATAATAATAGACTTTAAGTAATGAGATTATCCTTGATAATGTAGGTAGACCTCATCCAATCAGTTAAAAGGCCTTAAGAACAAAACTGAGGTTTCTCAGAGAAAAAAGAAATTCCTCCTAAAGACTGCATCATCAACTCCTGCTCAAGAGTTTCCAGCCTGCCCTACAGTTTTCAGCCAGACTCTACAGCTGCCTAAGTCAAGTCCTTGAAATAATTCTCTGTATATGTATATGTTATGTATATGTAAATGTGTGTACATATATCCCACTGGTTCTATTTTGGGAAAACCCTGATATGGCATCTACTATTCCCTACTACCATGCTAATGTCATCAGAGATAGAGATAGAAAAAAGTCTATTATGTGGTCACTGTCTGAAAACTTCCTAATCTGAAGAATATGAAAAGTCAGCATTGTGAATTATGTGAGGTAGTAATATATTAGTAAGTGTCAAATGAGTAGCACTGAATTAAGTATTTAAGGAACTTAGGAAAAAAGAGAAAAACCTCTGTGGACTTAGGGAGTGCTCGGCATAGGCTCTGTGTCAGAAATGGGGACAAGGATCAAAAGTAGATAGTTTAGTTGGATTGAAGTTGTACATAATCTATTAAATTTCAACTGCTTCACTGCCTGCTTACTAATAAAAGGTTCCCAGGCTCCAGTGACTTAGGAGAACAGAAAAACCTAAACTTGGAGTTTAAAAGCCTTGAAAGATGGAATTCCTCTCTACTACCAGCAGTACAACCTTAAACAAATTGCATACTACTTAAAGCCCCAGATTCTTCACATATAAAATGAGGATTATAAAGTCATCATGAGAAATAAATGAGATATAGTATTTGGCTCAGTGCCTTTCACAGAGGAAATGCTCAACCAACAATAAGTGAATGCAAAAATATATAAAAAATATTTTAACAAAGAATGCTACTAAAGGTGAAACCGAACACTAAATTTCAAATAGTTATAAGAAAATGTATCCTAGATAAATACATTTAGATCAATGGCATAAGCTAATTTTTCAAAAGATTAAATATCTGACATTCAAAAAACTATTTTACTCAGGTTCTATCGTTTTCACTTTGTACAAGAACTCCTAGAATACAATTTGTAAGTGGACTTCCTGTGTGCATAAGGATTTTACAATGAAAAAATGTTTTATATCATCCAAAAAAATAAGCTGTGCATTCACATTATAGTACCTTGAGGAATATCTTTAGGTGGGGAATATTTCTTCTTCTTTACAATAACACCTTTACTTTTCTTTTGTCTAGTTCCTGGTGTTGCTCTAATAATACAACATATTTCTGATGTATTTGAAGGAACCTGAAAAAGAAAAAAAATAGTGTATAATTCTTCCAGGTATTGTATTTGTATGCTGTTTTATTTCAAAGGCAAATCATTTCAATATCCATATTTCATACATATTAATGACAGAAGCATTTATGAAATGCTTACTCCACTCCAGACACTAATAAAATGGCTTTTTTTTTAAAGATTTTATTTATTTATCTGAGAGAGAGAATGAGATAGAGCATGAGAGGGGAAAGGGTCAAAGGGAGAAGCAGACTCCCTGCTGAGCAGGGAGCCAGATGCAGGACCCGATCCCGGGACTCCAGGATCATGACCTGAGCCGAAGGCAGTCACTTAACCAACTGAGCCACCCAGGCGCCCATGAAATGTTTTTTTTTTTTAAAGATTTATTTATTTATTTGAGAGAGTGAGAATGAAAGAGAGAGAGAGAGAGTACATGAGAGGGGGGAGGGTCAGAGGGAGAAGCAGGCTCCTCGCTGAGCAGGGAGCCTGATGCGGGACTCAATCCAGGGACTCCAGGATCATGACCTGAGCCAAAGGCAGTCGTTTAACCAACTGAGCCACCCAGGCGCCCTCATGAAATGGTTTTTAAACATTTGCTTATTTAATACGCACAAGAACGAGACAGGGAAGATTATATCATCCCCACTTGTAAAATGAGGAAACTTAGGTTCAGAGAATTTGGATACCTTATTTAAGGACAGAGAGAGAATAATGATAGAGTTGAGATTCAAGCATTCCAAAGTGCAAGAGCAAGTTTACAAGATTTACCGAATTAAAACACAAATTTATTTTAATTCTGAGCCATATACTAGATTTCCTTGGTTTCCCAACTCAATGAATTTTGAGAACTGCCAAACAGACAGACTCTAGAATAAAGAAATACTGTATCTTCCAAAAGTGACATAGCTTGTTTCTTAGAACTCAGAAATAGACATACGTATTTACCAAGGGCTCCTCCCACTGTAAGTAAAGCCTATATAGAAATAACTTCTACTTCAAAATTCCTATCATCCTCTGTGGTAGGCATCTGATATTTTTCTGCCCAGCATAATTTCTATTCTTCTGGTACTGAATAGTACCAGAATTTTCTTGGGAGAATCTACTCATTCTCCCAGCCTGCACACACCCCTTTCTTATGGCTCAGGTGGAGCTGATAATACTTCTGAGCACCAAGAGGCCCTAAAACCCAGCCCAGCCAATCACTATATGCTATGCCCCTGGGCACAGTGACTGGCTCAGACAGAGATGTTGTAAATGGGTCAGCAGGAAGAAGGGAATTCTCAACATGAGATTCTGATACTAAGCCAAAATCCTTTAGGGGGCAAAAGTGGTCCCAGAGTGATACCCGACACTAGCTATAGCCGTTGTAGTAGAAACAGATACATATCCTCTTAGGAGGATGGAATGCCCATTTTAGGCAAATAGAATTCTTATCAAGTAAGAGTAAGGAAATAAATGATCAGGGTCAGAATCAGAGTTGTTCTTCAAGATTCAGCTCAGAACAGTTACAAGCAGAAATAATGAACAAAATACATTTCACCTCATCCTCTGATTTTATTATAACAACAATAAAGGAAGTACCAAACTCATGAGAAATCAAGCTACCATGTGTAAAACTATACAGGAATATCAGAGAGGGGAGTTAAGCTCCCAGGACATCAGATATCAGAACTGCCAAATCAGAATAGAATAACAATGTATGAAATGATTAAAGAATTAACAACTGAAATCTCATGGATGAGCAAGCAACAAGAGACTATCTGGAGTGAAAAGCAGATGTGAAAAAGAAACAACTAGAATGTCTTGAAATGAAAAATAAAATTGCTGAAATACAAAGTTCATTGGAAGCCTTAAGCAGAAAAGTGGACAGAACTAAAGAATTACTGATGAAATTACCCAGAATACAACAAATAAATGAAAAATATTAAAGAGAGTCTGAAAGATAGAGAGGATAGAAAGATGCCTAACATATGCCAATTATCATCCCAGAGAGATATTTCCCAAACTGATGAGAAACATGAGTGCAAACATTCAGGAAGCCAATGTCCCAAACAACATTAGAATAAAAAACCAACAGGGGTGTCTGGGTGGCTCAATCAGTTAAATGTCCCACTCTTGATTTTTGGCTCTGGTCATGATCTCAGGGTCTTGAGATCAAGCCCCACTTTTGGTTCTGCGTTCAGTGGGGAGTTTGTTTCTCTCTCTCTCTCTCTCTCTCTCCCTCTGCCCCTCCCCCTGCACTTGCTCTCTCTCCAAAATAAATAAATAAATCTTTAAAAAATAAAGAATAGGGGTGTCTGGGTGGCTCAGTCGGTTAAATGTCTGCCTTCAGCTCAGGTCATGATCCCAGGGTCCTGGGATTGAGCTCCGCATCAGGCTCCCTCTGCCCCTCTCCCCTGCTCGTGCTCACTATCTCTCCCCCTCTCTCTCAAAAACAAATAAAATCTTAAAAATAAATAAATAAATAAAAATAAAAAATAAAGAACAAAAAGCCAACAGCAAGTAAAATATTAATCTCTTTAGGTATACACTCCAGTGAAATTACAGTACACCCACAAATAAGAATTTAAAAATATCCAGAAAAAAAAGATAATTCAGTACCCAAGACCACCTCAGTCTCAATGATTTGCCAAAAGGACTCACAAGATTCAGAAAAGCTGGTATATTCACAGTCAAGGCTTATTACACAATAAGATACAGACTAAAATCAGCAAGGGGAAAAGGCACATAAGTGGAGTCCAGGAGAAAAAGTACACAGAGCTCAATCCAGGATAATAAGCTTCCAGTTGTCCTCTCCTAGTTGAATCACATGGATAACATTTAGTTTTCTCATGTGCAAAGTGTTGCCAACATGAGAAGCCCAGTAAACCTTGCCCCAGACCAGTCTCCTAGAGGTCAAACTGATACAAAGTTTGCCTAAAGCCTCAGGCATCAAAAACAGGTGTTTACCATAAATCACATTTAGCATAAACTATCAGGACGTACAAAGACCTCTTATCAGGCAGGATACTCCAAGGGGTCATAACTCTTACAAAGGACTCCTTAAATCTCAACAATAAGAAAACAACATAATGAAAAAATGGGCCAAAGACCTTACCAGACACCTCATCAAAGATATACAGATGGCAAGTAAGCATATTAAAGGATGCTCCACATCATATTTCCTCATCAGGGAGATGCAAATTAAAACAACAATTAGATACTACCACAGGCCTATTAAAATAGACAATATCTAAAATACTGACAACAATAAAATTTTATCCAAACCCACAGAATGCACAACACCAAGAGTGGACCCTAAGTTAAATTACGGACTGTGTGGGGTGATTATAATATGCCAATGCAGGTTTATCCTTGGTTAAAAAAAAAAAGTGCCACTTCGTGGATGATGTTGATAATGGTGGTGGCTATGCATGTATTGAAGCAATGTGATATAAGAAATCTCTCCAGGTCTCTCTCAATTTTGCCGCAAATCTAAAACTTCTTTAAAAATTAAAAAAACACATTTTTTTAAAAAAGTAAAAGTATACAAAAATACATACCATGTTAACAACAGTCAAAAGAAAGCTAGAGTAGCTATATTAATACCAGAAAAAGTAGATTTCTGTGCAAAGAATATTACCAGTAATAAAGAAGTTCCTTCATAATGATAAAAGGGTGAATTAATCAAGAAAACAACAATCCTAAACAATCCTAACTATTTACACACCTAGTAACAGAGCTTCAAAATATATAAAACAAAGAGGATAGAAATGAAATGAGAGAGGGGCGCCTGGGTGGCTCAGTCAGTTAAGCGTCTGCCTTTGGGTCAGGTCATGATCCCAGGGTCCTAGGATCGAGCCCCATGTCGAGCTCAGCTGGGAACCTGCTTCTCCCTCTGCCCCTCCCCCAGGTCATGCTCTCTCTCTTTCTCTCTCTCTCAAATAAATAAATAAAATGAAATAAAAAAGAAATGAAAGGAGGAATGGACAAACCCACCACCACAGTCCAATATTTTAATACCTCTTAATAATTGATAGACAAAATAGGCAAAAAATCAGCAAAGATATAATTGACTTGAACATTACTATCAACCAACCTGATGTGACTGATACTGTAGACCATTCTACTAAAAAAAAGGAAAATATGCATTATTCTCAAGTGTGCACAGAATATTTACCAACATAAACCAAATGGATTACAAAGCACGTCTCAAAAAACGCATACAGACAAGGCATACACAGAACAATCTTAGACCACAACGGGATTATATTAGAAATTAATAACAGAAAGATCTCTGAAAATTTTCCAAATATGTGGACAAGAAATTGCATACTTCTAAACAGGCCATTGATCAAAGAATAAATAAATTGGGAAAATGGAAAGTATTTAAACTTCATGAAAATGAAAATACAGCATGTAAAAACTTGTGGGATGCTGCTAAGGCAGTAGTCAAAGCAAATTTGTAGCATTAAATACGTATTGTAGAGAAAAGAAGAAGAAGGAGAAAAGAAGAAAGGTCTCCTATCAATGAACTCAGCTTCCACCTTAAGAAAGTAAAAAAAGAAAACCAAATTAAACTCAAAGTAACCAGACAAAAGAAAATAACATGAGAGCAGAAATCAATGAAATAGAAAATAGAAAAACAATAGAAAAGGGAGCCTGGGTAGCTCAGTTGGTTAAGCATCTGACTCTTGATTTCAGATCAGGTCATGATCACAGAGTCATGAGATCAAGCCCCACAGGTACTCAGCATGGAGTCTGCTTGAGATGCTCTCTTTCCCTCTCCCTCTGCCCCAACCCCTGCTTGTGCTCTATAAATAAATAAATAAATAAATAAATAAATAAATAAATAAATAAATA